CAAAAATTTACGAAAGTAAACCAAAAATGGTATTATTGTTGCTTTTATAAAAATTTGACGTTTGAATTTGACACTCAAGGTTGCCAAACTAAATCTGACACCAACAATATTGCCAACTTAATTTCAAAGTCGCAGACGACTTGACCAAAAATTGACTTGAGTGATTCTAGAGGTAAAGATGCGATTTTGAACCGGTTGCAAGAAGCCGGAATTGAGGACCCCACCGATTACATCTCTTTCTACGGTTTGCGCAACCACTCAACTTTGAATTGTGAGCCAATCACTGAGCTGATTTACGTCCACTCGAAATTGATGATAGTCGATGATAAAACGGTGGTTTGCGGCTCGGCTAACATCAACGATCGCTCTCTAATCGGTAAAAGAGACTCGGAAATTGCCGTTTTGATCGAAGATGAGGCCTTTGACGATGGTGTCATGAATGGGAAGAAGTTCCCATGTGGGAAATTCGCCGGGAGTTTACGCAAATATTTATTTAAGGAACATTTGGGTTTGTTGGGGAAAGAAAACGAAATGATCGATTTTGATATCACCGATCCGATTTCGGATTTTTTCTACAAAGAAATTTGGCACAAAACGGCCAGTTTGAATACAGAGTTTTACGAAAAAGTCTTCCACTGTATTCCAACAGACAAGGTTAGAAATTTCGCCGATTTGAAGAAAAACCAAGAGGAGAAGCCCCTGTATATTAATGAGATTTCACGAGCTGAAAAAATGTTGGAGAGTATTCAGGTAAAAAGATATATCCTTTTGCATATCGAACGCACTCGGTTGCGCCTCGTGCAATTAATTTCGAAAATGACCGTTTTATGATTTTTAGGGCCACCTCGTACTATTGCCTTTGCATTTCCTGTGTCAGGAAAGTTTGACTCCTGCCGCTAGTTCAGTAGAAGGGATGATGCCCACGTCTTTGTGGACCTAAATACTATATTTTTACTGCAATTTTATTGTTTAAGATGCCGTCCGTTGAAAACACAGGTGCTACATACATTTTTTTTCTACATTCCCCCAAGTGCTTTAATACAAAAATCGTTGTTGTGTCCCTTTATTTATTACAGTATTATACATTTTTGGTACACATTTACAGTGTCTGTCTACTAATTAAATTATTTATCTAAATGTTGTTTTATTTGTTCCCTTAAAGCATCAAATATTTGAATGCGAAATAGAGTGGCGTAACGGACACGACTCAGTGCGCATCCCACTTAATTCTTATTCACAAAAAGAAAACAATTTCAGTTTTGAAGCAAGAAAATACAGGGTGTTCCAGAGAAAATTTCAAGTAAGATAAATCAGGAACATGAAAAAAATGTCAAAATTTTTGACATTTGACATTTTTTATGTCTATTTAATGATATTGATGACCTTGTATACAGGTGTCCCACCTTATAGCTTGTACCTTCTTCGCGGTAGTAAAAAAAATATTTCTAGATGTCGTAGTTTTTGTGTAATAAATTTTCAAAAACTCCATGTTTTCGTCAAAAAAACCGTCATATTTTTAAAACTAAGCAAAATCGACCAATAAAAGTTTATTGTGATAAAAATCTACATCCAAAAACGCTAAGAAACTTATGGTGTTTCAGTTAAAAAAAAACAAGTTTGTGTTGTAACTTATTTTTGAGACACGCTGTATAGTTGAAAATAATTTTAGGCGATAGACTAGATTAGTATCTATAAATGTCCTATATTTTTTTTAAATTTTATCATTTAAAGGTCACTAATGGACTTTTTCAACTCGCTGGGACACTCTGTATATTCGAAAAAAAGCAAAAAAACATCATTTTGAATTAATTTGCTGGTTTTTTACTTGTTTTGACAAAAATGAAATGAAATGAACAAAAAATCCAAAATAAAATCAATTTCGATCCAATTTTGTTATTTTTTGGACTTATTTTAGCTGAAACTTAGCTCAAAAATTTGGTTAAACAGTTAAAAAATGCATATTTTAAAACAGATTTGGTGATTTTTCGGTTTGCTTCAGCAAAAAAGTGTGTTTTTGGATGAAAATCGTGTTTAAACATTTAAAAAAATACATATAAATATTATTTTTGGAAAAATTTGTTAATTTCTCGATTTGTTTCGATAAAATTTCACTCAAAAACAAGTTGAATCGAGCAAAACAGTTTTGGTTTAACAGTTTTCAGCTTGTTAGAGCAAAATTTTGTGAAAACCAATGCGTTTCTGGGTGAAAACTGTTCGAAAAAGGCAAAAATTTAGTGATTCTTTGGCTTCTATTGAGAAAATCTGGCTTAAAAACGAGATAAATCAAGCGAAATATCTCAAAATAACAGTAATTTTTGACTAATTTGATAATTTTTCGAGTTGTTTCAACAAAAATTGCATTTTTAGATGAAAATCGTGTTAAACGTTTCAAAAATTTATAAATAGCATCATTTTGGCTAAATTTGGTAATTTTGTGTTTTAACAAAATCCTACAAAAAAAGAATTTTCAACTTAAAAACATGCTTGAAAAAAAAAATAATATAATTTTTTCTCAAATTTGGTAATTTTTCGACCTGCTGCAGCAAAATTTCACAAAAAAACAATGCGTTTCTGGTTGAACACTTTCTTTAACGCTTTCAAAAGGCAAATTTTTGGCTTTTTTGATAAAATCTCACTCAAAAACGAAATAAATAGCGCAAAATATTCCAAAACAATGTTAATATTTGACTAAGTTGATGACTTATCGGGTTAGTTTAGCAAAATTTAGTAAAAAATAAGTTTCTAGTTAAATATTGAAAAAAGCCAAAAAAATATCATTATTTTCTATTAATCTGGTGATTTTTTTTGACTTTTTTTGAGACTGCGTTTTAACAATATCCACCAACTTATTTTTGGGACATGCTGTATAGTTTTTTTTTTAATTTTACCATCCAAAGGTCAAATAGAGTCAAAGTGCAAAATTTAAACTCTCATAACTTCGAAATTTTAATTTAATTTTTTTCATGTTCCTGGTATCTTACGTTACCTGGGACGCGAGTTCTGGGGCACCCTGTATGTCACTATTAAATTAGCTGAAACGCTGATTAATTTCAGCTTTGTAACATTCAAATTAGTTGAGTTTTTTCATGGATTTCAGCTGGTTGCCTTTAAAATTGATTTAGTGCTAATTGAAATTAATATCAATTACCATTTATGCAATTAATAATTTATTTGTTATTTGTCAACTCTCACTAATATCGTAACTGTAAAGCTGGAACGCGGCCTTGACCTTCTTATCACTTATTTACTCGATTTCGTTTTTTAATAATTGCTCATAAAACCAATATTAAAACAAGATTATTTTCAAGAAGATAAAGAAATATTATATATGTGGTTTTTTTCGCTTTCAAGGTTCTGGATTTAATTAGAATATTATTTGTTTTATTTTTAATGTTTTACATGAATATTTTTCATCATTTCCGGTCTCGTTTGTGAATCTTGTAGACTTTATCTCATTTAAACACAAGTTTGGGTCATTTCCGTTGGAATTATTAAGAGAACGAAAAAAAACTAATAAAAAAGTCAAAATTCGTTTTCAGATTCTTAAAGCCAGTGTCAAAATATTTTTATTCCGATCTTTCAAAAAGTAAATAAAATAAACAACTTTGAAAATAAAAAAATCTGTTAATAGTATTTTACAACCGTGAAGGGAAATGTCATTTTGTTTTAACAGTCAAACAAATTGTATTTTGAGGTTAAAAATCGGCATATTACTATACGATTGTGGATAAAATGCCACTATCGCGCGATCTATGATAAAAAAATTATTGGCAACACTGAATTATTGATAATTGATGATAATTATTATAATTAATTATAATTTGCACTCATATTCTACAAATTTTTAAAGAGAATCTAAGAAATAGATAACACATTTTATCTAAAACACAACTCATTTCTATTCATAATTTAATAAATACTTACTGTTGCACTTGAAAATCACAAGTTCACAAACTTCACTTGGCAATAAACAAAAAAAAAAAATAAATAAATGCACTGACCTTTATGGCATCTTTTTCTGCTACTCTTTGTAGCGATTCCCCTCTTCTTCATAGAACGGACCTACTGAAATAAAAAAAGAAGAAATTGAGTTTATTGTGTTTGTAAATTAGTTGATAAAATACAAAGAAAATTAAATAAGTGTATTTTTTCTAAAAATTTATAATTACCCTTTAATCCAGATCCTTGTAGCACGATTGTCACCACCATTTTCAAAGACTCTTCGCATTGGCATTCATTAATCATTCGCGCATCACTAAATGTCTATTAGGCACTCGAAAATACACAACACACACTCACTGTACTCCCATTTTATTTTAACACAATTTCACCAAATAGGTAATAATTTATCCGGACAATTATTACAATTCAAGTAACTCGTTTGAGAGCTTGGCTAAGACTGACTCGTTATTGTAATAATTTCTCTAAAAACGGCACAAAAACCGTTTCGTAACAGTTCCGGTGTAAAGGGTCTTTGTTCGGAACTGCGTAATCACGCCATTCGCAACGTCACCATTTTTTGCGTTTTTTACACTTGTTTACACAACAGAGGGATTTTAAATCCTACGATTATACAACCCTCTAATCTGTCAGATATGACGTCAAAATGCTCATATCCTGATTGGCTACGGGATAGCGTCTTTAAGCCAATCAAATCGTTCAGTTTGACAGCTGACGTAATATATGAGAATTAACTCAAATTTCCTAAAATCAGAAATAAATCTCCCTTCAATTTTTTTCAAAAATCCCTAAAAATGTAAGTGTTATATTATATCGTATTGCCAACTCAAATTCAAAATTGTGGCCCACCTTGAGAAGAAAATTCACTGTTTTGGTTTGGAAAATTTTCGTTTTGTTAATTTTTTTCAAAAACGCATTATTTGGATGATTTTATGGGATAAAAAGGTCACTAAATATGAAACGGTCTTTATTTCCTTTTCTCTTAAAAATCTCTAAAAATTTGACAAGTGTCACAATTGCCAATTTAAATTCTTTTCTTTAGTTTCGTCGGTAAGGTAGATTTCTTTACATTCCAACATTGTCGTTTTGTTCATTTTTGTCAAAAAACGCATTATTTTGACAATTTCATGGGAT